TTAATCTGTGTTTAAAGGGATAAAATAAAATGTCACAAACCTAACAGCATTTTCTGGTGAACCAATGCAGTTTTTTAAAGTCTACTTTTTGCCACAAAATGTGAACACCAGGCGAGGATTGTAACGGTTATTTTGACAGGAGCTCATCTTGTTTGGTATCTTTTTTGCATGTGTGCTCATTAGATAGAAATGGGGTGAGTGTGCTGAGACCAGACTTGTACGTAACGCGTTACAAGTAATTGATTACTTGTAATCAATTACAGTTAAGTGTAATTTTGTAACGCTTCAATTACATTTGTCAAGCTGTAACGCTCGGAGTAATTCAATTACTTTTTTCTGTAATCAATTACAAAATCAATTGCACAATTACCAATTACATTTTTCATTCCACAATTTTTTTTTCTCACAAGAATCAACATAGTCACTCAGCCATGGAGCAAAAATGATTGACATTTTTTTAACATCTAAAAAAAATAAAACTAGGATTAGTCGGCAAATCCTTTTTTCTTTTGCGCCACGCTCTTCTACAAGCGCGCCACCAGCCTTGGCTGGGGAGTTCCGGATCTCGTTGCAGATTGCTGATAAAGTCGACGGGAAGCGGGAACTCGCTATTGACTTTTTAGTGGGCTTTGTTCCTTAGGTCGACGCGTCAGCTACACGACAAGGTCCGGGTCTGAAAACAAAAAAGGGAACAATAACCAAACGAAATTGCGTACGCAATATTTTACTGTGTATTTGTGTATTTCTGTCATCGCAATAAGAAGTAACGTGAAAGTAACTTGAAAAGTAATCAATTACTTTGCAGTAATTGTTCAATTACTTCTGGGAGGCAGTAATCAGTAACGGTAATCGGTTACTTTTTTGACTCTAGTAATTGTAATTGTAATCAGTTACTTTTTTTCAGTAACGTGTACAAGTCTGGCTGAGACATAGTCAGTACGCTCTCGTTGACAACGTGGATTTAACATAAAGTCATCCTCATTATCATGGGCGGGAAACGACTACTTTCCATGCAGTCATCACCCCCTGGTCGTTACTGTCTGAACCATAAAACAGTACTTCACAAACACAGGAGACTCGAAATGCGCGGCGCTGCCGGGCAGAACGCGACCTTTATCACGCCGACCACTTAGATCCGAAGTTCCCCTCAAGCCGCACTACCCCCAATAGGGCACTGAACAATGCATTGTTTCGAACCTTTGCTTGGTTTACCGTTGTTGATTCGTTGTTTTTTGTTGACCATCAGAACGGCGAGTTTTAAAAAATAGCGAAATGCCGTCTCCACGCAAAGCTGGCAGCGCACCCGGCTCCCACGTAGAAGCACCGCGTTTTAACTTCGCCAACGGTGTTTTTTTTCTTTTTCATCAATTTTTGATATTCTGAAGAGTTTGAGTTTATTTTTGGCCGTTATTTTTTTTTGGTTCAGAAGTTCTTTCAACAGAAAGCGCGTACGAAAGGAGCAATGACATGCTGCATTGGGTCAAACTTACGCTGGCCCTCACTCGTGCATGCTTTTCCGCCGACCTCAGCGGACACGAGGCTAATTATTGTATTTTGCCACAGCATACATTCGTCAGATATTGAATCTTAAGTTTTCTCAGTTTATCAATACCTCGCCACCTGCCATTCGTGATAGAGATAGAAGGCTGAGAGAAAGTGAGCATGAACTTTAAAGATTGCGAGGACTCGACATCAAGTAAATACGAGGCTTGCTTGGACATTTGCAGAATATTTACATTGTATTTGCCGTTTTGTCAATTTTTGTCTCTCTGTGTAGGTTTGACGAGATGCTGAAGGAAATACAATGCAGCCTGGGATATGAAAACCTTATCAGCCAGACACTGAGGGCGAACACTCTTAAACATATAGCGACGGTATTAAGAGTTTCATGAGACATTTCGTTGATATTTTACACCTACCACATGATATTAATGGTACCGTTTTGCCCCGACAAACTACCTGAACAATTCATTTCTCATGTAGAAAATTCTGATATAAATTAAACCGACACAACCTTTGGCTATATGGTTGTTTCATACTGGTTCCTGAAAGGCCGATAAAGGTAAACCAACAATGGTACACAGTTTATTTTGTTATATAGGGTACTGCGCGATTACAGCGATTACCAGATGCGAGAGCTTGCAGGCGAGCTAGTTACGAAACTACATACATGTAAACCCTTAGATGAGGAAGATAAAAACGCCGCCAAGACAACACAGACCCTGTGTTGTTTATGTGCTTTCTATCTTTCCCGTACCAGGGTTTACAAGTAAGTGATTGCTATTCGTTTCATATTTTTATCGATAATTACCAGCCGCATGCAGCACGCCTGATTATTGCCATAGTTACTTGGGTTGCTTGAAGGTAGCTACAGATATCTGCCATTATCAGACAGACATGTATGTTGTCCTCTGGTCTATAGTGATTGATCTATACTAAACTTAAGGCAGAAACGTCCTAGCCTGCTTGCGATATGTATGCCATAAAACAGCATCATTGTCGGAAATAAATTAATTTGCAATATGTTTTTTATAAAAATGGAGTGTTTAGAATGTTCAGTTGTATGCACCACTTGCACACGGCGTAGAGAAGCGTATAAGGCCGCCAAAATCGTAGAAAGCATTCCCGGCGTAGAAAGCGTATGGGTTTATGACAGCGGGCGTTTGGAAGACTTGCGAAGATTCCAGTTAACACCGGGAATGCTAAAGGACAAGTCATTTGGCAAGCGAAAGCGGCTTGATGCTTTGCTACATCCCAACGATCAATGAATGGAAGGGCAATAAGACTCCCTTTAGAGCCCTGTTCTCTAGAAAGCTACAGGAGATGTGCATTGGGTACTTCCGCGGCTACGCTCTAGCTGGTCAGAGCAGAGGCAGCAAGACTTTTTGTACGTAATGTCGTGCTGCGACCTGACCTAAGATGAGGCGGGAACTATTCCGTTACACTCGTAGATACATGGCTTGCAAGAAAGCAAAGCTGAGAGGCAGGGAGCCTCCGGGTTTGATGCAGCCGATGGTGAGTCATTACACGTGGGAGGTGGTCGTCTGCAAAATCATTGACCCACTGCCGCAAGATGTCGATTCCGAAAAAAGATAGAGTGGGCGCTGCGTTACGTTAAGAGTAATCGCCACCTCGAATTCAATGTCGGGGATGTGGTGTTACGGAGAACTAACTCACTGAGCAGGGCGACTTGGGTTTGTGCTGCCTCGCTGGCACCGAAGGGGGAAGGACCTTACGAGGTATTTACGCAAGTATCGCGTCTTATCTACGGTCTTACTCGGATCGATACAAACGAGCAGTCTGGACCCATTCACGTCACTGATTTGAATTGGTATATCCTTCGCGACCAGGACAACAATGAACGAGAAGCCGCGGAAAGAGATCTTCCCCGCTCCATTGACCAAGTTTGCGCGGACCCGAGCACAAACCAGAGGTCGGATTTTGATAAAAGTAAGAAAAATAGCTCTCTCGGCTGCTGATCGGACGTGGCGCCACAGCTTGCAGGCAATAAAACATTTAGACTTTTGAACCCGCTCACCAGTTCACAATCAGGCAGAAGTTTGGCGAGAACGCCTCACCAAACCCCAAATAGCGAGAAAGGTCTCGCGGCCTCTGATGGGCTTGTCCTTACTTCTGTTTCATTCACCGGCCGATATGAGCTTGCGTACTGCGGCATAAGAGCTGGAGATTTGCAAAGGACCGCAGATTGTGAATGGCTTCCAGAGCGGTAGTTAGCAGGTTCGAGAGAATGCTGACAGCAACTCCTTATTGAAAATCTCATTTGTATAATACATTTTTGTATCTAATGAACACATATGAATCATGCAAGATATATAAGAACATACAAGAACCATATAAGAGTTATAAAATAACTATATAAGATATATAATAACGTATAAGAACCATATCAAAACTTGTGAGAAGTCTCCTATAAGTTTGTTATATGGTTCGTATATGTTTTATAGTTCTTATATGGGTCTTGTATATTATTATATATCTTGTATGATCCATATGTACTTATTTAAGACGAAAAATTCTTATAAAAATGGCTTTTTCACTAGGATCGGGCCTTCCCAAGATCGGGTGCCGCAGAGTGCCATGATCTGCACACCATTAACGGTGTTCTAAATCAGATAGGCATTCCTGGAACGCCCGCATGGGAGCAGCTCGACTTGACGCAACTCACGCACGGCCCCCAAGCAGAGTGTGCACGCCACCGCCTCCAGGTCAGCCAAGGCGGCCATCCTGAATACCGGTGACCCGACTCGCAGGACACGCAACCCTAAGGCCACGGTGTAAGATAGACAGGTGGGGAAACAAGAGCCAAATGAGCGACCGGATCGTGTCCCCATCGGGTTTCTCTTTTTCTGTGGCGCCATCTATGTTGAGCACCGCGAACTCTCACTCCGGGTGGGCGACCGGTGGCGACCGGCTAAACTGACGGAAATGATTTCTCGTGGATTTTCAATGCAGGACTGTCGTGCTCTAGGTTTATTTTGCGCACTCTCCCAGAAAGTTCCATCCAAAGCCGATTCCAGTTTTTTCCTCTCGCTGCAGCGCCATCTGTCGCAAATCGGGGGTACCCGCAAGCAGACGAGTACGCAATCCGGTCACGGCGCTGCGGTAGGCTTCTATGGGCCGTTTCCCCACCTGTCTATTTTACACCCTGCCTAAGGCGGTGAGTGAACGCCTCCAAGAGCCGGTCGATATCGAGCGTGCCCACTATCGAGCTCAACCGGAGGAGGCCCATCTGCCCCCGCCGTTCTGAACCTTACGTGGAACGGATAAACACTGTCCGCGGTGGGTAGAACAGCTTTGGGCAGGTCCCCCGTGCCACACAAGGGCCTCGTGAACGGCGTCTGAGAAACAGGGGGCTGTACACTTCGTCTCTCGGCGATGGTGGAAACACGAACCGAGATGAGAGGCAGGGCAGCCCGGCGACACCATGGAGCCGCCCTTCCGAGGGCATACTCTACCCCCTCTGGCCCGTCCTCTTAACCATGACAACGGGCACTGGCGGTCTGACTGTACGGCGTCGACCTCCTACACCCAGAGCCACGCACCAGGAGCGGCTGAACAAAATGGCTCCACCATCCAACGTGGACGCCACAGTTCAGCAGCTCCGACGAAACAGGCCTGACCTGCCCGCAACCGAGGCCCGGGACCTCATGCAGCCTCCCACTGGTCGCACCGCCGCACCAACTCCGCTCGAGGCCCCACAATTGTCGCTGCAGAGACCCCTTGAACGTTCACCTACTCCACTAATGTCGCTGTTCCACTCCCGTCGCTGTCAGTGCACTCCTCGTATTATTCTATGTGGTGCCCTCAAGGACCCACCTAGTCACACCTTTGAAGTGTGTGTGTAGGGGGGGGGGGGGGGGGGGAGCGACCGCGAGGGCGTTTGACATGAGCCCGCGGGGCCAAGGGAGAGGAAGACGAGTGCGGAACTGAGCAGAGCTTGGGCGGCGAGATTGAGGAAATCCTGGCACGCAGCACGAATAGTGAAGGCGTAATGTCCCTCTCGTTTAAATATGTGACAACAAAATCCTTCGTACCTTGCGTTGTGTGAGGCAATCGAGGCGGCGCCTGATCGGGCGCTTGCTAATGTGGGCACGCAGGATATAAATTTGTCCCCATTTTTGCGCGCAACGCATATTCAGGTTAGATAATACCTCGAATGAACACTATTCACCCCATTACCTATTTTTAGCAAAGCCTTTTATTTCTAATAAAAAGAAAACAGTATTGGAAAGTAGACCAGACAGGGCTAGCGCGTTTTCTCGATAAGTCTTACTTCCTACCCGCATAGATTTTTATGGCGGGTTTATAAAAGCGAAGCTGTTTATGGCTAGGGTTCCATGGATTTCTTCTGCGTAGCGACTAAAAACTCTACGCTAGCACCGCCGCACGCGCCACACGCGCACACCTTTCCCGTACAAAGGATTCGATGTAAAGAACCGAAATAAAACGTTGACGGACGCGTGTGCAAGATGCCATTTGTTTTAGGCTTTTGCTTTAGAACAGTTACTGCTACAGACGCCGGCACGTGCAGCGCGAGGAACACCATTCCCTGCATTCTTCTTGATGCTTGGGTAACTTAGCTATAGGTCTATTCAGTATATTGGTTATCAATAGGTACCATTTGCAAGATCAGTAGACCCGCAGGTAAATAATAAAGCTTTCTCAAAGATTTGCCGCTGTGCGACCCGCGTCGGCCACGCTCCCACGGTCCTCGGATTGTTGTCGTTCCAAGCGCTTGTCCGCCCAGTTTTCTCTCCTTCCTCTCTCCCGGGGTGGCGGTCCCGACGCGCGTGACTACTTTCCACCGGGTGGTGGTGCCATTGCGCGTGTCTAGTTTCCTCCGGCTCTTCGGGGTCGGTCTGTGTCTTGTGCAAAGCAGATTCTCTGGTCATCCACCTTCATAAAGTGAAGTGGCTGATGGTTTTTTTAAAGAATTAGATCTATTATGTTTCCATTTTAGTGTCAAGAACATGGAACTCGTCAAAGAATATTTTAATAGCTGACACTTCTTGGCGACATTAAACTACAGGGAGTGATAACTCAACTCGTAAACCATTCGGAATTACATGATCAGAAAGATATCTGAGTGACCTGTGAATAAAGCAAGTTTTCTTTATACAGAAAAAAAGACTGACGAATTTTACCCCTAAAACGGAAGATATTTCTAAATTATAATTTAGATTTAAATTATACAGAATTAAGGCGTTCGCTGGTTGACTTCGGAGATTTGCTTGATTTTAACTTGGCATCCAACACTCATGTTGCGGTTTTCAGTGCTTAATGAGATTTGCGTGTACATTGACAGATTGCTCGAACATCAAAGCCATTCAAGTTATTCTTGTATTTTCTGCGTTCGTATTGCTTTTTAGTGGTTTTCAATTTACTTATTGTCCCTTTAGGTTACTATTCTTTTTTAATGTCACGCATTGGGAGATAATCGAAGAGGCACACATTTGTTTTATTTCTATTGCCTTTGGTAGTCATGATCTACAGCGATATTGTTTTTAATTGCAATAAAATGGTGCAAAGTCTTAATACTGTAAAAATGTGAAATATGTGAAGTGTGCAATCTATTGCTTATATTTTCAGTGAAGTGTCTTCACCCGTTATTTTATTGAATATCGTTGACTTGTAATATTTTGTACGAGACATCAAGATAAGATCCCACGTATATAGTTCTACACATGTGTGATACTAAATGTATGAAACGCACAAGAACTATTTGTTTTACCGTAACAACCAGCAACAAAAGGGGAAAAGGCAGCTCACGATAGTTTTTGAGTGTTTACTTCATGTAAAACCCATTTATAATTTACACTGCAGAAATAGAAAAAAAAATACGTATTAGATATTTAAATACATAAACCTTAGTTGATTTTTTTTTTGTCCCAACGCAACCATGCTACGATAACCGCCAGACTCATTCTGTCCTATCCTATCAGTGACTATAGTTAAGTTAATCTCGCATTGCTCACGCGATTAACTCAAACCTCAGCGAGCTTGCAATCGACCAAACACGTCCCAACAAACTTGCAATTTCAATAAAAAATATGGGAATTTAGATTATTTACTACATGATTAACTGCCTGCCATCTAACTTAAAATCTCCGAAAGTGTACATAAGAGAGCCGTGACTAAAAAAATTGCATTAGCATTTTATTATTATGAAGGTGTCTGACATTGCACAGATAGAAAGCAGTTTTTGTTTTATTGAAAAAAAGATCGCCTTTTGTGAAATCTTGTTTGCAAAAACCGTCACCGAAACAGTCAAAATGACATTAAGGTTAACAGAAACATAGTCACGTTTGACCTATGATTCTTCATACCGCACGAACGCTGAATAAAGAACTTTTGAAGTGTGGTTTGCACCGATTTTCAGCTTTTGCTACTCTGTAGTGAAACAACTGACTATCTCAAGACGTTAGATGTCTTCTGCCGACTTAAAATCTTAATGTCGTTCGCTAACATTTATTTGCCTCATTGTCTCTGTGCCTATATATCTAGCTGGTAAATGCAACTTCTGGTCAGCGTATCATTCGTTCCAAGATGCTCCGAACACTTGTGGAGAAGAGCTTGGTATTGGCATTGGTGATTGTCTTACATGATGCGTACCGTAAGTTAAGACAAACTTAATCGTTATTATTTAGAAGTCTTCATCCAGGCAAGACTTGATGTAGCAGTTTTGTTTATATTTAATGGTATCTAAAGAGTGTCGCATTGGTTGTTATTTGTGCTTAAGTATTCTACATTGTATTCAGTAGCTGAGTTAGGCTGTAGTAGCTTGGCCTCCTAGTTGTATTATTTTATATTTTATTTAGCAGCATAGCAGTCATAAAGCACACAAAATATCCAACACTTTATACTAATCACTGTCACAACGCGGTCGAAAAAACGTTGCATTTCGAAGTTGTACCGAGTTCATCTTTTACAGAACAGTATATTAGTTAAAACCAACATAGTCATTTACTTCTTGTAAGGCGCCAAAAGCAAATTATAAGATCAATGAAGCACTAAACTTGTGCTTGCTAACAACGTGCGTGTTAATTGGCGTGACGAAGTTGCAGCCTGTGAGTCAAGATCTGAATCTGGCTTATGAGAAAGATGTGCTCGTCACGCACATTGAAATGAGCGATGTGCGCAACTGGATGCTGATCTTTTTTTAGGGAATAGCTTCACGCGTTATTTGATTGAATATTTTGGGCTTAGGATATTTTTGTACCTGACGTCACCGTAAGAACACATCTTGTTTTGCACATGTGTGATCTTAAATTAATAAAACGATGTAACAATAATTGTTTCAGGAAAATTACTGCCAAGGAGAGTGAAAAGCGCTGCTCGCGATTGTTTTTGAGTGTTTACTTGGGGTCCCTTCCTGTATATATTACAAAGTTGCCGAAAAATTACGTTCATTTTAACACTCTCCTACTCGCGAAATTATTGAGGCTTTTCATATTTCTTGACTCGGAGAAAGATGTGTGAGAGCCATCGGTTTTCCTGTGTGATAAGGAGCTGTACTTTCTGCGCCAGATCGTGACTGGCATAATTTGAGTCTAGTGAACCTATTTTGATGACACGTGCCTTGTGTGGGGCGTATTGTTTGATCACACACTGTGTTATCTGGTATTGACTTATACGTTTCCTTTCCTTTGCAATTAAACATTTCAGGTGCGAGTACAGCTGTTGTCATGTCATGTCTGTCCCTTTCATTGTCCTCGTTTTTGAAGCTGTTACACTCATCATGTCAAACTTTTACCAACTCGCCCAGCTCAACACCTTGTTACTAATTCAAGCCATCACAAATTCGTTCAGAGTGATCTTTATCACTACCCCTGTGTCATATGTTTTGCAGACATCACGAAGCAGCAATTATTATTTTCAACAAATCAGCTTAACGGAAGACGATGTTAAAAAAATGAAATGAAAAGTTTCGATTTTTTAATTAGTTTACAATCTGGTGCTGAACATGAAGAGAGCGTCATGCCAATTAGAGACGCGTCATTTTTTAGTCGGAGAAGGTTTAAAATTAGTCCAAGGTTTCGAACGAGTCATTATTCCGGTTTAGTTGGGGTTCAGATTCAGTAACTTTTCATTTTGTCCCAGTTCGGCTACGGTTTAATCATGCATGCGTGTTAGCGGTTCAGTTACCGGTTCAACCAAGCGCAAACTTGCACAAGCCGTTTAACGCAATTCCGGCAACTTTTGTTTAGCATCCGCTACTTGCATTAGCCGGACGCAAGGATGAACTTTAAGGCTTACATCACGCCAAAATAAGATCACAAAACGAGAAAGACATGTTTAATGGTTCGTTCAAAATATGCGAACTATGCTTGGTCTCAGCGAAGGCGACGTATACTATGTATAGCGTACCAGTGCTGGTAAAATTTTTGGAACACAATGTACAATAGCTTGCTCCCTTTAAAGTCGATTTTCAGTAGCATATCAGAGATAATTTTCTTAAAACGGCGAGTCTTTTGAATTCGAAGAAACAACTTTTTATTTAAAATTAGTTGAATTAATAAGAAAATATTTCATGCATGCGGAATGAGCCAGTACCAAGCAGAAATAAAAAAAATATACATTACCCGTCACAGCATTCTCTGAAGTAGGTATGTCTTTTTCTTCAGATTCAAAACCAAATTGAATGCAAATGTTATTATTTTCTTAATGACGCAAAACGTTATGACTCACCAGATCTACTTTTTCCTTTCCTATTGAAAATAACACTTAAGCCCTGGTATGTTATCGGACTCTCTCAGCTCTTCCAACCCCTCCAGCCTATCAAACTCCTTTAACCCTTCAATCCCCTTCAGCCCTCCAAACCTCTTCAGACTCTTAAGACTTTCAGACTCCTCAGTCCTTCAACCGTTTGGACACCCAAATGACTGTGAATCATCGACCAAAACTGGCCGTTTAAAACGTTATTGGAAAGCTATTTGAGATATTGAGGTTTACATGCATGTTGTAACTCAAAAAGACGATAAGAGCAAACGTTTACTCAAACCCATGCTCAAGCAGCAGTAGACAAAAGCGATCATGCCGACTCTGGACAATTGAGTTTTTTGTCGCCAAAAAATATATTCTTCGAAACACTCACAGTGCGCTAGAAAAAATCCTGAGGAGATTTTATGAGTTGATGAGGACTCACGCATACATACCGTCAGTGGCATGTTTAACGAAAACACAAACGAGCGACCAACATCCGCACTGCTGAGGAATCGTGAGCATTGTCACGGTGTTGTCCTTCGGTGCCTTCGCGTTGGTGTCTCCGGCGTCTTTTTCGCACGCTGAATGCTTCTGAAGCCGGACGGACAAAGAGGCGCAAGAAACAGGGCACTGAGATACTTTCTTGATCGGTACACCTAGCTGCTTTAGAAAATGTATGGTCCCACGCATGGGGTGGAGAGCTGACACTTTGCGTCCGCTCGTTGCTCCGCATTTAATTTGGGCTCGTTGACGGAAAAATAACCGGGCGACTAGCTTCCGCTGGAGGCTGTATTTCAACTGAATAAAACCGGTCATCTTCAAAAAAAAAAAGAAAAAGGACACACTCCCATTTTCCCTACGCACCCTCTCTTCCTCGTGAGCGAGGAGTTGGAGTCCTTGGGCGCTTATTGCTAGCTCATAAAACAGGCACCCTGTACACACAGGCACAGCGATGGGGCGCGTTAGCCAAGGTCACGTTGTCAGGGACATTCAAAAGATTGGTTAGAGTCTGCTAAGTACCCTTTCTTATCACGTACCTAACCAGGCGGAGTTCCGCCGAAATGTTTACATTTAAGCTCGTGTAGTTAAAATATTGGTTCCTAAAGTGGCTTGCTGTACCGTTGTCCTATAAATGAAGTCACAGACAATCTCATTCAATCGTAATTCTTTTTTTTTTGCAATATATATATATATATAATTACTTATTTTTTCTGCGTTGGGTGTCTCTTCACGGTGGTGGATCTATCCGAGCTCACAGGCGGCGCAGGTTCAGGTTCTTCCGCGCCCTACCTCTCATATCATGCTACCGCCAAGGTTGTAGGCTGATCTGTTTGAAAAGTCGCTGCGGTTGCTTCCGTTACGTCGCGTAGACGTAGACGTTACATGACGGCTCTTGAAGCAGGCACCGCGAAGCATATGTTACAGGGTGGCGCCTCTCGATCCCTCCGGCCCATGGGCCTTTTTGGGTCAGTTGTTCAAACTTGTATTAGTACTTTTTTCTTCAAAACTGTCGTCTACCTCTTCGATGTCAGTTTGTCTTTTCCTGACTCCCCTGTATCATTTTTACGCTCTTTAATAATAATAAAATTGTGAAAAATGTGTGTGTGCACACCCCATTTATGGCCACCGCGTTATGCTCAACTTGGCCGTATTTTACGCTTTATAACTTCAAACCCACACACATATTTTATTATGTTTTTGCATATAACGTTAGTACATATTATAAATGTTAACATCGGAGTGTTTAAAAAATATTAAAGATGGCCTTTTTTTCAAATGATTCAAATTTCGAATGAGGCGCAACGAGGGTGTGCACATGGGAGTAGGCCAATACCGCCTAGAAGACAAGACCGTAGCGCTGACATTTTTGCGTCACCAGCAAAGACTGAAGCTGAACACAGATTGGAAACGAGTGCTGCCCCAGCGCTGGTCTTCGAGTCAAGTTTGAGCCGAAAGTTGACGCGATCGTCGTGTCCAATCTGTGACCAGCGTTGGCTTTCGCTGATGACGTCATCTCATACGGCTTTGTTATCTAGGTGTTGAGTAGGCGCCCACTCTCGCAGCCACTTTCCACCCTATAGTTTTATGAGTTACTACTCCCGTCTTGGTAGCGCAGAATGTATCGTAGGCCACGCGCTCCGCTGTTCGCATTCCATTCGTACTCGGTAATACGTGTTCTATCATAGCTGAACCAATCACAAACATAAAAGGCTCAGTAGCTTGCGCCTTTCGCACGGCTTGATTTGACGCATTAGCTCGTAACGTCAGCTGCGACTGGACCTAAGCGAAAACGAAGTATAATAAGAATCCCTAGAAATAAGAAGGTTGCTAAAACAACGTAATATTATGCAAAGCTAGAAATCGGTATAATTCCTGACTTCGTATTGATTAGAGCAGATGGAAAAACATTCGTCAAATATAAAGCCATTCAAGCAATTCCGAAGAGCTTTAGCTGAAACATGGAAAACATTTGTGTATATTCAATTCGCACAATGGAGCGGTACAAATATGACATTGCCTTGGTACAAAAATCTAGCGAATGCATATATAGCAATTCTGCAATGGGGTATAGTTGCTTCCTAAATGGAATTGAATAAGTTGGAAACGCAGTCTAAGCGCAGGTCATGCTGTTTCCTACCACAGATTCAAAAGTGATGGCCCCTCGTCAAAGATTTGTTTCACCTTGTTTGGTTCAATAGTTTTTAAATGCGAAGCAAGGTTGGTAAGTCATGAAGGAACAAATCGAAAAACATATATAAAAAAGTGGGCTTTTCCCAAATCGGCACCCGCATAATCTAAAGAAAATATTTTTGTTAATTCTGCCCGTACGCAACGTATAGACCTTTTTCACAAGGTTGCCGCCATCTTGAAATATCTTCACTTCCAGTATGAGCGAAAACATTCTTTTGCCGTCGTCACGCCAAAGAGAAGGCATTTAGGAGATAAGTGTAACCGTCACCCATTCACGTTTTGCATCCCCTCTATTTTTGTACTAATTGCAGGTTGAAACGTTTTAATATTTTTTCGACGCCCATACCGGATATGCCTACTTGGCGGTCGGGAGCGAGAGTAAGCGGAAACGGTCTATACCCGAAGATGAATGCTCTGGTCTACCTCCTAATTGAAATGATTTCGTGAAACAAAAACAACGCATTGCTGAATAACAGTGATATTTCTCACTGTTGATGATGCTAACTTCTAATTCTTGTTCATTTTCGTACAAAATGTTTTTTTTTTTTATATTCACGGAACTTTTTTTTTTTACCTGTGTTCGGGACCTTCATGTTTATGTGCCGTATTTTGCCCGCCGTCTCGGGGCTTTTGTCATGCTTAATATCTCTCACTGTATTACTTCGATCAAAACATCGTTTCGTGCAAAAATGCCAGCACTGTTGAAACCCATACCACAAACGCGTGCATTATATCTGTTGCCTGGTTTCTAGCGCGGGTGTTCTTTGTGATATTTTAGTTAAGCATGGGCTAACATGATACACGTTGGACATAAAGAAAACTCGAATAAACAAAGCTCGCCTATATGCAGAGCCATTCAATGCAACATTATTGTCATTTGGACAGTGACCGAATTATGTTAAAATCTTACGGATTGTTTCTTGTTCCAACAGACCTCAGAAAAACAAGGATTGTGTATCCACGTTTACTGGAAGCCCGGAGTCCAGATAGTCCGCTAAAGATCTTCGTGAATGACGAAATAACCCTAAATCTCGAACGAGCCGACGTTTTTCCTGATATGTTTTTGCTACGGTATTTCGAAGGAGAAACAGAAGTAAATGAATATGTGAGTGCAATTTTGGTCGTTGCGTTTGATATTGACGAAGTTAAGAAACTAAATGCATTTATATTTTGGTTCCTTTTACATTTTAGATTAAAGGATCAGACCTGAGCAATAAGGTGTATCACGACAGAGACCAAATGGCTGCCGTGTCTATTGAAAGGGATAACGGAATTCGCGTGGTAAGGAATAAATGCCTTATTCTTTTTATTTTTGCTGCATGTTTATGTGTTTCACCAAAGACAACAAAGCCTCAGGATTGCGCAGCCTCAAACTACACTCCCGCATTATACCGAATGTAACAGAGAACTCAATCGCCTAGCAAAGGCCGACTTTTAGATTATCCGCTATCAATATCCTCCTGTTCTATCTTGCAATTATTGATAGTGTTATGTTCATTTTTGCGGCGGCTGTCCGCCAAGTGTTGATCTTTAAGTGGCAAATTCTTGTACTTTGCTTTATTTGAATCTGTTATCTGCAATGAGATGTATAATTCGGGATCTGTGTATTTGGATACATCCAAAAACCTTCGACAAAATGTTGTAAATGTTTTTTTCATTTTTCGTACCTTCGAAGTTATCCCAAAAAGTCTAAATAACAAGGCCACAATGTAAAAATTAAAGACAAATATTTTTTTTTTACGAGTAAGTTTTTTGAGAGCACAGGGGGGTGGTCCGGAGGAGTGGCCATTTCAGGGTTATTCAAAATCTGGCGCTATTGACTGGTACTATCTCGTCAAGGTTTGTTGAGAACAACGGGTCATCGTAATTTTGATCACGACAAGTGCCAGTATTTGGGTTTCAAACTCGAAGCTTAAAGTTTCTGCTTTTTAGAGGGAGGGGTTATGTTTTTATATTAGTGAAATTTATAAACCCGTAGATTTCAAAAAAGTGGGCAGGGCACCTAGAGCCTCTATGTTTCCCACTATCCTCCGGCGTTTAGTCATTTCAACGTGTGGACGTTAATTGAATCATTACTTTCTTGAAAGACTTGTTGTGAGACAGTTATTATAGCCAATGGCAAAGAAGCCACAGAAAAATGCAGTCACTGAAATATAACTAGATAGAGATGATTTCTTAAGAATTAGGCGTATAGCTTTGTGTCCGGATGTTATTTTTATTTTAATATTTAATACAAAAATTTAAAACACATTAAAATGAGCTTCAGAATTCTGGAGAACTGGAAATCTAAAAAAAGATTTCGATAGTACCCAAAGTTTGCGCGAAAAATGAACTCCTAAACACGCTCTCTGAATTTCACACACAAAAAGGAAACAAACTTCGAAGACACAAGATCCTACATATAATGTATATAGCCTTTTTTAATTATAAAATAAAATATATAAACAAGTACACCAATCACAAATGTTCGTTGGCAGGAAACCCTGATGAAACTATTTACGTTAAACTGTGAAGATAATAAAATGTAGTTTTGAGATGAAAAAAAAATCGGTTTGTTTCTTTATCTCGCAACAAAAGGGTGAATATTGCGAAAAATGTAAGCAAAGTACAAAATACGTGGCTGAAACGATGTTAATTCAATTTCTTCAGATATTCATCATCATATCCTCAGGCTCACCTAACTACTCTCTCATATACTGTAGTATGTCGCTTTGGAAAAGATTCCAGTCAATAAAAAAAGACGTAACAAGCTGGTTAACGGAATACGAACAAGGGCAGAAAAAAATAATCAAATACAAAAATCATAGTAGTATTAGAACTAAAGCACTAATAACAAGCAGCTTCCATCCATGTGATATAATGCATAGGAATGATATCTGAACAATATATGTTCAAGGCACGCCAGTTGAGATCATTTTGGGCGTTCGAGAATTCTGGCATATCGCTGAAGAACCCGCAGACGCCAAATTCTTGAGCCATGTTTCATGAGAATATATATATATATATATATATATATATATATATATATATATATATAATTGTAATGAACATAATCAGTTTTTTGAAACTTCACAGGAAGGAACTATTCTCAAAAAATATCAAATAAGGCCAATGAACCGACAGGAGCAATCGGATGCCGGCTTTAATGCTCACGAATTGAGTGAAGTTGAGGAGCCTTTTCCGAATACTCGTGAGGATTGTGAGTAGTTATAAACGTTTTGATTTTGTGAATTAACACTTTTTTTATAGGGCACTGCCATCGGGAGTACACTAAAGTATAATTCTCTTGTAATGTTTAAACACATTGAGAGGCAGCTAACCAATAAAGTAAAACGTATTCTAAAGATATATCTAAAAAATACTTCAAATACAAACTGTATATGTAGGGAAACCCTAAAGAAACAGGAATTTGTGCTCGCAATATCCTTTCATTTGTTTTTGCACGATTCATTTTCAGTCACCTTCAAAGTACCGTTCGCTTGATGCAATACACTTCTCGAGAAGTTTCTTCCAATGTTCACAACAGCATTTAAACGTGTCGGTTTTGAAGCGCTTTAGTGCTTCTGGCGTTTGCTTTTAACTCTTCCACATTGGTAAACCGTTTCCTTTTAATAAATGTTTTTTATCAGGTGAATCATAGAAGTCAGAAGAGACGGAATCAGATGAATAAAGTGGCTGGTTTTTTGTTACTGTGTTTTGTTTTGTTAAAAACAGCTGAACATTCAACGTGGTGTGGGTAAGCGTGTTTTTATGCTGGTCGAAACAGTCTCTTGTTTGCCGAAACTTTGGTTGTCTTTCTGCCCGTACTGCACTGAGTGTTCAGCCGTTTTCGACTTAAAACGGCATTACCCCTACCCCACCCTCCCTAGTCACCCGACCTCGACCCATGAAAATTTGTCTTTAATATGTCACTTTCTATGAGAACCAGCATCATGACCGAGCGTCATTAACGAGCGACACACTGGTAGCGTTTCAAAATCCAGTTTCCCTGTTAAATTTCTGGATAAAATTGTCGTCGTGAGTTAACGTGAATTTACTTCTATACGATTCCAGCTTCCCCTTTAAATTTAGCGAGGAAAGCACTTTACGAGAGTGTGGGAAGAAATATGGAGGAGGGAGAGAATTAAGTGAGAGGCGGAAGGAGGGAGTGTACTTGGGCTAGTTGGTTATTCATGAATAGGAGGTAAAAGCGCTAAAAAAGCGCTCTGTGGTGTTCGTCATTCTTCAACTTGTCCGTCGTTTTTTAGCGCTTTTACCTCCTATTCGGAAGGAGGGAAGCAAATGCAGGTGAGGAGGGGGGCACCATACGAGTGTGAGGGGACGGAGTGGATAAGGGAGGGCAAGGGATGAGAGGAAAAGAAAGAAAAAAGGAAATTAAAAAATCTATATATCTATAAATACAAATCATAATTGTGTAATTTGCACGGGACATATTCTGTGCTCCCTCGTATATGTTAGCATGATTAGAATGTGTAATATTTTTCCCCGTATGAAAAAGTTTCCAAACAAGAACTGTTTACCGATGTGAAACAGGTGAAACAAAAAAACCGACTCGGCAGAAGCAATCTAAGGCATACAAATTGCCAAGTTTAGTTTGCTATGAGCATTGGGAAGAAAACGTTTTGATAAGTGTATTGCACTAGGCAAAGAGTACTTCGAAGGTGGCTAAAACCTGAACGTATACAACTAAATAAACGATTTCGCAAAAAAAAAAAAAAAAAAAAATCGGTTCCTTTTGAGTTTTTGTTGTACTGAAATACAATAAACCTATACTTTATGGGCACTTTTTCTTATAATGAAATATAACAAATATTATTGACTGATTGCTTGCTGTCCCGAATCTCTTTCTGTGTAAACTTGCAGATTTTGAAGTTCCAATGCAGGAGCGTATTGAAGTACCGACGCCACCGAGCATAGAATGTAAAGTATTGGCCAGAACTGGCAAATTGTTGATAGTTTTATTACACTTTGTATTGTTCAAATATTACCATGCTCCCTTTCATATATGAGATGCAATTAAATTTGTCTTTCTTAATGTTCCACAGTGCCTGAAATGGTGAACCCTGAATTGTACGTTCTCTTTGATGCTAACTCACATAAATCAATGGACAAGCCCTTGAAAGCAGCGATTTATGTGGCCATACTGACAGTGTCCGTAAGTAGCCGATTGCCTATTGGTTTGGTGATTATGAAGTGATTTCATTACACCAATCATAGGGAGATTGAAAATAGCGGTTCTTGCGAAGATCCTGCGAAGCTCTCTGCCTCCACTTCTTCAACTTGGTCCAGTCCGGCTTTAATTTCGTTTTTTTCCTTCTTCCTACATCATAACTACTCCCCCCCCCCCCCCCCCACCAGAACGAAACGGCGTCTCGCCGTTTTGCGAAATGACGTATGGCTTGGATCGCAGCACGCGTCTAGACTGGGGTCGGTCACTGTGTTTGCTTTCGGGAACCCACAATGCTCGGCAAGTTAATTGTCGGTGACTTGTCAAACGATCTATAATGGGCCTCGGTAAAAAGGAAATAAGGTAGGACCTTTTGAGCGAAACCAACGCTTCGTTGTGGTCTGCACAGCTGGACCAATTCTCCAGGGAAGCATAGAGACGCTTTCGTGAATATGTTCATAACGGGCACATTGACAATCTTGTGAGTCGAGTGTTCGGAAGCGTGCAAGTTGTTTTGCTTCTTCGACTCGACATGTCTCGGACGCGTAGTCCGTGAGCGTTTATCCGTCTTGTAATATCGTCAGAGAATCCTACATAAGGAACGCTTCGCGGCGGAAAAGAAGATGAAAAGGAGAATGACAGGTTAGGCTTATCGCGAACAGTAATAGGCAAATTCAAAGTTTAGAAGAACAACGTTCAAATTGCTGTGGTTAGTTCGAATGTACATTATGGTAATATGGGACTCTCCTGTTAGACCTCGGTCTCAGGAGTCCCAAATCCGCGGCATGACGGTTGACCGCGGAAGCGGTTTCGTCATCGCGACACTGCCTATGATCCTGGGCCCGTTTGCTCGAAGCCGGTTAACTCTAACCGCGGTTAAAAGTTAACCGACCTTCCCTACTAGGTACCTACAAGTACCTAGCCAAGTTTGAAGAGGGCTGGATGAGCGATAGCTCCGTGTTTTATTATGGGGCGGTGGCTGGTGTCACCTACTGGCTGTAGCGAATATAAGTGGCTTCTGTGGAAAGGTTCCCGAAATGGGGGGACCCAAAAAATGCGCGCTGCCTGGTTTTCGCGACGCAGCGTGGCATACATTTGAGCTTAAGAAACCATTTTTATTGCTCGTGGTACAAATAATTGGCAAGGTAAAACTAAATTAACCCTTGTTTGGAAATTTTCTAAATATTTGGCTGTATGAAGTGAAGAAAAGCCTCGTTGAAATTTCCTTCCGACTTCGAAAGAGGACGACGAAGTTGAGTCCTAAAAACGATGAGAAAGAAGTGAGCAGTGAAAGGCAGCATGGTTGGCCACCGGCAGCATGGTTGGCCAGCATGTAAGGACTCATAAATTGAAAAACCTGTAACTTGGCTCCACTGAAAATTGACCTATTAAATTACCCGAACATCGAGAAGAACGCTGGAAGTGTAATTCTATGATCCGCGCGCGCTGGCCTTCCACTTATAAAAGATTTGAAGTAAATAATCATAATAAATCGTTGACGAACGCCCGTGCACGGCAACATTTGTTTTAGGCTTTTTGCTTCAGAACAGTTATTACTGCAGACGCCAGCAGGTGCAGCGCGTGTAACTACACTCGTAGCATGCACCTCGGTGCTTTTGAAATTTAGCAAGAGGTCTATGGGAACGCTCCATGCTTCTGTGTGCTATCAATACCCGGCCGATTGAGTCAAGGCAATCCACTTTCCAAAAACGTTGCCATGCCGACAACTATCGCGTTCATTTAGGCTTAGGAATGGTCAGAGTCGAAAGTCTATCTAAAAAATGCGGCGAGGTCATTGCTCATGTTTTGCGTTTTAAGTGAGGTAATGCAGCGCGAAAACCTCCTGCACCATTCATTGCTGACTAACGCGCCCGCTACTGCAGCTACTGCGACGTATTAGTTCCAAAGCGAGCGGAGCTCACTCACCGGGGCACCGCCATGTTTCCCCGCCGTCCTTACTCTGCCGGTCACGTGACCCAAAATTCCCCGTCGTAGGGAAATCCGGTTAACCGCGGTTAGTTAACCAACTTCGAGCAAACGGGCCCTGGAGCGCATTTGTCAAACGCCAAACACGTTGATAAGAGTAAAACTGTTTCTTCTGCTATATCAACGATAAAAAACTGGGGGGCAGCTTAAGCATCACCTTTAAGAGTGGAACGTCATAGCGTTATCGGGTCCTGTTCAAAAAACGCATGCTCGTTGCCAAGCCTCGCAAGTGTGTGTGCGTGGTCTCGCCGGGAGCGTCACATGTCACGTGACGTCACACATAGTTACGACGTTACGACACTATTACCTTCTAAATTTGGCAGGAAAATTTTCCGTTAAATTCCAAGTGGAATTTTTCTGATATATTACCCCCCCCCCCCCCTCCCCAGTTACGAGATGTCAATCATCCTTCAGAGTCCGAGACCGATTATGAAGATTTCTTTCGAAATGCAGGGAGTGATGACGAAGAGACGGGCCTGAGCAGTTAGCCTAGTGATTCTGAAAAAACCAAGATCAAGCACGTTTTCTGGAAGCCGGTTAACTTAAAGCGCGGTAAAAAGTTAACCGCCCTTCCCTACTAGTACCTACAAGTACCTAGTCAAGCTTGACAAGCACTGGATGAGCGATAGCTCCGTGTTTTATCATGGTGTGGTAGCTGGTGTCACCAACTGGTTCTAGCGAATAGAAGTGTCTTTCGAGAAAGAGTTCCCAAGAAGGCGGAACCCAAAAATGCACGCTGCCCGGCTTTTGCTACGCTGCGTGGCGTACATTTGAGCTTAAGAAACACTCGTTGTTGTTTGTGGTACAGATATTGGGTAAGGTAAAACTAAATTAACCCTTATTTGAAAAAATTCTGAATGTTTGGCTGTCTGAAGTGAAGACAAACCTCGTTTCAATTACCTTCCAAGATCGACGAAGGACGACGAAGTTCAGTCCTAGAAGCAATAAGGAAGAAGTGAGAAGTGAAAGGCGGGCGTTACGCCGGCAGCATGGTTGTCCAGTAACAACTGCATATAACACCATCATAAAGTGAAAACTGTTTAATTCGGCTGTAGTGAAAATAGACCTATAGGCCCGTAGCTTGAGCTGCGCTGCTGGCGAGCAAAATATAATATTTGTGGTTCGCGTTTCGAACATGCTTCATTACGGTTCTCCACTACAGTTTTTCACACTCCGTTTCCCTGCAAGTGTCAGTGCAGCAGAGGCTAGAAAAGCAACCTCCGAGCTTGCAGTGTCCCTCCCAAGCACGCGCGCTCGTGCAGTGCAAGAATCGTTCAAGGGAACATGAATTTGCATGTAGCTTGAGCTTCGCTCTCACGCAAGGTGAAACATTCGTTCTGACGGAGGTTATGAAAGAAAGCAATAAGGAGTATTCACTGGCCGCCATAGCTGTGTTCGCGTTTGCTGGGCGAGTGCAGACGGCGAGCTTTCACAGTTCTTTTCCAAAGTGCATTCTACACGATCAAGATTACGCACCGTCGCAGCCTAATAATGTGAGCTTGCTCTGAGCATGCACTTTAAAAAGCGCCTTTAAATATGGCGTCCAGTGAGTATCTCCTATACAAATAATAATGCTGGAAGGAATCTTGATGAAACAATAAAGCCGCGAACTGCGTTTTTTACTTTTCATTTATTGCGCATGGACAGATTTTGACAGATGCTTGTATTCGAAGGAGACTCGTGCATAATCGAACGTTACAACGCCTCTTTTATAGTCGTATCGCGTGGATAGTGCAGACAGCATAGCAGAATCGCATCTTCCGGACTCGCTCGCGCCCCTTGGCCGGGTGCAACGGGCCTACTACTAAATTTCTCAAGCATCGTGGAGAAGAATGACGGTGTAATTTTACGCTCCGCGCGCGCTGGCCTTACCTGTATAAACGATTCGAAGTAACTGATCAAAACAGTGCTTTGACGAACGCGCGTGAAGGGCAATATTTGTTTTAGGCTTCTGTTTTTATAACGGTTACTACTGCAGACACCAGCACGTGCAGCGCGTGTAGCATGCACTTTGGTGCCTTATGAAGCTCAGTAAATGGTCTATAGGAACTCTGTCTGCTTCTGCGTGCGTGCAGTTAAGACCCGGCTGATTGAGTCAAGGAAATTCACTACAGTATTCCCAAGACGTTTCTATGCCAAAAATTACAGCGTCCATTGAGGCTTAATAAGGGCCAGTATCGAATGACTATCAAACAAAATGCTGTGAGGTCATTTCTATTGCTTTGCGATGTAAGTTAGGTAAGGCAAAGCGAAAGCCTTTCGCACCATTCATTGCCAACTAACGCGTCCAATATTGCTGCTACTACGACATATTATTCCCAACGCGAGCGTTGCTGGTTTGAAGGGGCACCGCCATGTTTCGCCGCCGTCCCTGCTCTGCCGGTCACGTGACCTAAAATTCCCCGTCGTAGGGAAATGCGGTTGACTTTTAACCACGGTTAAAGTTAACCGGCTTCGAGCAGACTGGCCAGAAACTTTCGATTTGACAGAACGCTGATTCAAAGAAAAAACAAAAAGAACGCCTCCAAAAAGAACTTAAAGGAGCTATGCAACGATATTCAATCGGAATGTTTTTCTTTCTACACGAGCTTACTGGCACACCTGGGACTCAAGGATACTCACACGCAACGCCACTGGCCAAGAAACCCCTTTGTTGCGGTGTAATTTCAAGGACAAAAGCGATCATTTTCATTCAATCTCTCCTTTGCAAAATTTGATGACGTAACTCGGGGATCGCAGTACACCCAAGTGACGATATTTGAATGCGGTTCATAGATTGGACCCGAGCATTGCGTGGGCACTCGACTTGGGCTCGTGACAATTGCTAGCTCGAGAAGCATTCGGGTTGTGACCCGTGTCCAATCGCTGAAACGACGACAACAGCCGAGCCATAACAATCTCTGGAACTCAGCGCGTGTCCTGCGCTTTGCCAACCCCAGCGCGTGGCTATGATCAACACCGGCGGCATATAATCGGCTCCAGATCACGTGGCCGCTTGTTCT